TCAATGACAAATTACACTGTTTAATTTCTTCGTCGAATATGCTCAAATCTAACTGTATGTCATTCAATTTTTTCTGGAGGTCTTTGAGTTTGTTTTCCCACTTGGAACTTTCTTTTGCTTTAGATCTCGATTCATCGTACTTCTCTAACGTTCTCAACTCTGAAATGCGATTTTCTATGTTTTTCTTCTGTGTAATTCGTTCATTCCTCGAGACCAACATCGCTTCGAATTCTTCAATCTGTTTTATCCCAAGTCTTGCACAAAAATTCTTAAAGACAGATTTCCTCAGTTTATCAGTCTTTTGGTGGAAGAGTTCTCCTTCAACGATGAATTCTTCTTTCCTTTTCTCCACCTCAAGTTTTTTCTCTTCCGTCACCCGCTGTTGCTCTTGCAAATCTTGCAATACAGCCTGAAGAGCTGCAGTCTTCGTCTCCTGAGAATTGAAATAAGAAGATTCATGGAATTAAACCATTGACATTTGATTAATTTAAACTATAACATTCGACAAAAACACATTATCAATCTGTATTACTAATTTCCATTCATGCAATTATCCACTTTTCTTTTAAAAGCTCCTACATCATCAATGCTTACAGTTTTATTAAGGAATGCTTTCAAATTATCCAAGCAGCGTAATTTAAACTGATATTCGGTCTCAAGTCTTTGCACATCAAACTTGAGTCTGCCATCCCTAGCACGTCTTAACTTCTCGACAATTTGCTGCTTCTCCTCTTCCAACTGACCCTCATCGACAGTTCTAATAGTTTCACCCTGGATCTTCCTCTGATTGAATCCAGCATAAACAGCGTAACTCGTAGTCAAGAATTCTCCTGCTAAAGTGACTATATTGTGTTTTCTCTTCAAGGTCTGCATTCTGTCCATTGCCCTCCAGGCATCTCCAAGGGTCTCACACAGGATTGTAGATCTTACAATAGCTTTGATGACAGGTTCATACTGAGCATCACACCTTACGAGGTCGTAGACCAATTTAGCCCTTGGAGAATTGAGTTTGGACAAAATATCTCTGTCGAGTGATGGAGAACTCACACTTTCCATGGAGTAAAAGGTCTCTAATCCCAGTTGTTCGTGATATAGGTATTTCATACACTCAGCTGCAGTGGCATCATCCTTTACGATTATTGTATTCAGATCTTTGTCCAGTGTAGCTGCCATTGCAATTCTGTACTTGTCTGTAGGAATTTCGCATATATTCCTGATACGATCGTACACTGCTTCAGGGAATTTTTGCTTCAGTTTCTCCAATATATGTGTCTGCTTTCCCTTTTCCTTTTTGCTGTCCGAACTGACTCTACACAATTCCAAACGCTCCTCAATCTGTCGTTTGTGATTCTGTAATGACTCGAGCTCCTTCTCTGGTATCAGCAGTTCTAATTTCGTCTGCAGTTCCTCCTGGAGATCCATCGCATCGTCTTGAACTTTCTCACGATCCTGTCGATAGTTTTCCATGGATTGTTTATTTTTATTGATGGAAGCTTGATGATTCAAAATTGATTTTTCAAGAGATAACAATTTTTGATTCAGAAGATCCAATTCGGCGTTGATCTTATGCTTTTGTCGAATCTTGGATTCATTCATTGCTAGAGATGAACCCATCTGTTGCTGGACTTCATTCTGCAGTTGTTTGTAATCTTCTTCCTAAGAATAATAATAAGAATAATAATAAAGAAAATCAATAAAATCCATTTTAATAGGGTAAGCGAATTTTGAGAATTCGAATACGAGAGAAATGATTTTTTTTCCTGTGCAAGAACCAAAAGATACGAGAAAACGGAAATGGAATTATTCATGAAAATATAACGTACACATTCTGCAATACGTGCGTCATCCTGACCCCTTAACTCCTGAGAATATTTCTGCAATAGTTTCTCATTCTCTCGTATCATTTCTTTTACGTTGGCGATAGTCTCTTGAAGTTTCTTTTCCTCCTCAATCCATTCCTCCAATTTCTTAATTTCCATTTCGCAATCTGACTGTTGATTCTCCTTCTTGCGTCTCTCTGCCTTTAATTTCTCGAGTTTTTGGGATTCTTCCGTCATTTTTGCATGTTTTTTCTCAATCGTCTGGACAGATCTCTCGATGAGTTGTGTATTTTTTTTTACCTCATCAATTCGAGATGAGCTGTTCTCTAGAGGAACGTCTGGACCGAGTTTTTCATTCTTGAGATCAATTATTCTCAACTTCAAGAGGTAAGAAACTGCTTTAGATTTTTGAAATTGCTCTCGTAATAGCTCTAAATCCTTCGATTTTTCAACGGCATTCTTGCATTTACGAATTTCAGTATTCAATTTTCTCTTCTCAGCTGTTTCAGTTACGATGTTCTCGTGAACTGCGTTGATATTCTGCGTCAGTTGATCATAACGTTCTTTAAATACGATAGATCCACTGGCTATTTCCAGCATTCTCGATCGATCCTGGGGAGATGCATCGATAATATCGTTAATTTTCCCTTGATAAACCAGGAAATCTTTTGCTTTTATATTGATCCCAAGAGCTTCAAGTCTCTGGAGATACTCAGGTAATTGAACGATCTGGAAATAAAACCATAAATAATTGCACACAAACTTTTAAATATTATATTATTAAATTCCAAAATTGGAGAAATTGGAAAAACTTGTCATTGTGATGTGATAGAATCGATCAATTCAATTACAGATTTTTTATTACAATAGGAATGCTGTTTTACCTCTTCATTAATTTTGTAACGTGATTCGTATTGTTGGCTATCACTTGAGTCCTCCAGAGATCTCTCGAAAACTGTTGTTTCTGTTTCACAGATAAATGTCAGTCTGACGTAGGTTGCACTGAAAATTCGTGACACAAAAATTGAGATGCAACAGCCGACGTAAACGTCTCGTAAATTCGGATAACTCCTCACAATTAAAATCAGGAATGATTAATTCGCATTAGTAAACATCAATCGATTTTTTATAACATTCTAAAATAAAGTTTTTACCTGTCATGAGGGCCTGGCCGAGAAATCAACTCCGACAAATCATCGATTCTCAACTGCGACATGTCGTTTTCACCGAGGGCAAATGTGATAGCCTCAATGAGACATGATTTTCCTGGAAAAAAGTTGAACAAAATATGTTAATCATGACACAGTACTTTCATAAAATAAACACAAAACAGTTCGTCAACTTTAC